AATGTACTCGACGAAATAGTCTCATTCTGTAGCTCAGACTTTCCTCTACACTAAGCTATGTCCAACTTAAAATCAAACATTTAGTCAAAAAACAAAAAAAGGTATACTTAAATCTTTTACAGCTCTCAGATATCATCTGATAATGTTGATGTTTTAAGGGACGTGAATAAGTCACATATAATAAAAAACAACTGTTGATATCATCAATTCTGTTTCAAAAATACAGATTAAACATTTCGGTTGTTTAAAAGAAAAACCGTGATGATGTGGAACAAATGACAGAGATGCCACTATTCAAGTATTTTTCACCACGAATCTCATCACTCGGATGTTAAGATGTTCATACAACATTTGGATAGTCTCTTTTCCAACTAGAATTTCAACAAAAAACAGAGAGAAATATGATGTGACACTTTTCTTTGCTATTTTCTGGTCAAAGCTCTTCATTTAAAAGTGGAATTCATTTCAGTTTTCAAAAACGTGCACTATTCCGACGGTTTTTGATAGGCTGTTTTCTCAAGTTAGACTCGACTAGAAATTTGGCTCTGATGCTGAAAGATATAGAATTTTGTGTAGATTTTATTGATATGTTCTTTTTTAAATAAACATTTACCGTTTCTTTGTAGCATCAGAATTACTGGGTGCCACAAAAACATCGTTTGCTCAACTACAAAATCAGAAACGTGTAAAAATCAATTTTTGCCAAGTTAGATTGAGTTCAAAAGTTTCTTTCTTGTAGTAAGAGATGTAGAATTTTTCGATGTATCTACAGGGTGCCACATAACTATTACGCCCCCCTCTAAAACTTAAAGTATAAATGACATCACAGAGTATTATATACCAATCTGTCTAGCCATGTCCCTCAGTTGTGTGTGTTGACGGGAGTAGGGGCGGCAATTCGGAAATTACCGTCTTTTCCGGGATACTAGTGGGTTTCACAAAAAGGAACAAACATATATGGAGGAGTTGCTCTGTTGATCCATAATTCATTAAAAAGTAAAGTTATAAATTGTGAAAGTAACTTTTTAATAATTGAATTGGAACTAAGTCCGCAACCAATAATAATAGGAGCAGTGTATGTACCACTAGGTACACTACCTCCTTTTAATTTGTTTCAGCAGTATATAAACAAAAAATTTTATGTTTTTGGAGATTTTAATGTAAAACATACGCAATGGCATTGTAAAGTGAATAATATAAGTGGAAATCACTTTTTAAAATGGTTAGAAGATACAGGTTGTCTGTTAATTGCACCAAGAAAACCAACATCAAGAAAATCTGAAACGGTAATAGATTTTTGCCTAGCTAATGATGATACAAGTTGGAATACGGAAGTATTAGATGAAGGTACATCAGACCATTTCCCCGTTCTTTTTCAATCATCCTTATCATTGTCAGAAAATGCTTCCTTTCGTAAAACGAACTGGAATGTTTTTACTTTTTTTCTTAAGTGTGTATATCAATATTTTAATTCACTAGTATATAACATTGATGAACAAGAATTCTTTTCGTTGTTTTCTAAATTTTTATCTTCCCTATGGGAAAGATGTAGTGAATATGTATCAATAAAAAAGTATAGACCTCCATGGCCGTATGAGTTAGTGTATTTGGCAAAAACGGTAAATAAATACAGAAGAAGATATCGTAAAACACGTTGTATGACACATTTAAATAATTATCTGTTTTGGAAAGAAATATTTTTTGAAGAGAGAGCAAAATATCAGAACGACAGAAGAGAAAAACGGTTACTTTGGATGAAGACGGATAATAATATATGGCAGTACGCTAAACCTGTGTTTTACTCTGATCAACCATCAATTAGAGGCATAACAACGCCGTTTGGAAAAATAAAAGATGAAAAAGAAATAGTTAATTTGTTAGCTGACTTTTATGAAGAACATTATAAGGAACCTGAATATGATATATGTAATAAAAAACATTTAGAGTCAATAGAAATTTATAATCAGATAGCGTACACGCCTAATATACCTTTAGAAAAAATAACAATTAATGAAGTAATAAAGATGTGGAAAAGTTTTAAACCTAAGAAATCAACTGATAGCTCTAATACTTCATCATTTCTATTGAAAAAATTACCAGAGGAATACTTTAAAATTATTACAGTTTTATTTAATAAGTGTGCAGAGAAAGGTTTATTTTTTGATAAAAGTAAACATGCAAAGGTGATATGTTTGTCGAAAGACGGACTCTACCCAGAGAAAAATCGATTACGTCCGATTACGTCCGATTTCTCTGTTACCGAATTTAGGTAAATGGTATTAAAAGATTATACATCAAAGAATATTAAAATGGTGCGCGGAAAACAATATTTATGTCGACGAACAATCGGGTTTTACTCCAGGAGACGTTTGCAAACCCGTATTATATCTTTTTTTCGAAGAACTAAGACTTCAAGTAGCGGCATCTAATCGACCTGTTTTGGTAATATTTGTGGATTTTTTATCTGCTTTTGATAAAATGTGGTTTCCTGCGCTTATCGCTAATCTGCAAGAATTAAATATGCCTCTTCAGTTGTTACGTTGGATCTATTCTTGGTTACAAGATAGATCATTTTCGATTCACTACGGAAATGTTACTTCAAGACAGATTAAAATGTTTGTTGGAGCGCCTCAGGGATCAATACTTGCGGCGACTTTGTTTCGACTTCATTTACACTTTTTGCCACAGTACTTTTTTCAATTGATAACACATTTATTCGCTGATGATTTAGCTGTTGTTATAAGCAGCTCTTTAGAAAAGAAATTCTCGCTTAATGTCATAGAATTAGAGGAGAGAGCAAAAATAGTGCTAAAATCATTGGAAAAATTTGCTGATGATAATATTCTTCATGTAAATATTTCTAAAACAAAAGAACTTTTAGTACATAATGTCGTATCACCATCGTATCCTAAATTAGAATATAAACGAAAGAAAATAGAATATGTTAAAACGTATAAATATTTAGGTATTAATATCAGTACAAAAATGGGATGGGGTAATTTCATAAACGAAAGAATAAAAAGGATAAGAAAAATTTATAAGGCGCTGAGAATAATGTTTTATATAATTCCAAAAAATGAAATACAATTAAGGAGAAAACTATTTCTTTCGTTTGTCCTACCTCATTTCATGTGGTTATTTACTATATAGTTCTTTTTTACAGATAAACAGAAGCAACAAATAGAACATGCATATTGTAGCGGTTTAAGAATTGTGTATAAGTTAAGGACTTTTGACGATATAACTACCTTAATTTTGAGTAGAAAATACTCATTAAAAGATTATATATATAATTATTGGAAAGCTACAAAACATCAAAAAGGCGTCCACGGACCATGGAATCGGCTTTTTCTTTAGCAATTTTCTCAAAAGTTAGCCTTAGAAAAAAGATCCTTTTTGTATAAACAGACGCAGAATTTCAAGCTCTACAACATGTTCTTCTTTCTAAGGGCTAAGCTTTTTCTCTAGCCGAATGACGAAGTTGATATTTTTTCTGACATGGAAATGCACCAAAAATTAATAATTTAGTCGTATTTTGTAGGTGGTTTTTAACATAGTAAAACTCTGTCCAAAAATTTGGTTTTGTGTCTCAAAAACAAATACGTTTCTTTCTGTACTTTTACTATCGTATGCTTGAATAGCGTATAGAAAATTGTTTAACAAATAAAACTGACATTTTATTCCAGTGAAGTGCTGAGCAAATGATGTTTTCGTGGCAGGAAATAATTCTGATGCTACAAAGAAAAGGCAAATGTTTATTTAAAAAAGAACATATCAATAAAATCTACACAAAAGTCCATATCTTTCAGCATCAGAACCAAACTAAAGTCTATATCTTTCAGCATCAGAACCAAACTTTCTAGTCGAGTCTAACTTAAGAACTTGAGACTGCGGTATTTAAAGGATGCATACTGAGTCCTATGCAGATTTTCAAATGCTAACTAATTGATAAGTGTGTGTTGAGCTTTCAAGACGATTCGGAAATTTACTATCCTTTCTAAAACCGCAGGTCTTATACCAGGACTTGGATGGGGTAGTTGCAATCAAAAAGGCAGTCCATGTCTGTTGAAAGGAGAGTGCTTCAGTTGATTCGTCAAGATGCTTTGAAAATTTTATCCAATAATTATATATATAATCTTTTAATGAGTATTCTCTACTCAAAATTAAGGTAGTTATATCGTCAAAAGTCCTTAACTTATACACAATTCTTAAACCGCTACAATATACATGTTCTATTTGTTGCTTCTGTTTATCTGTAAAAAAGAACTATATAGTAAATAATCACATTGTGACGATTATTTGTCACAACCTCTCTTTCCACTATGTACAAATTATCTTCGTATACATGTATGTTAGTTTGTTTTGTTCCGTCCTGTCTTTGTTGGTATTTTTGTTGTCCCGTTGTTCCTGTTCTTTTTCTTTTCTCTTTCTTTTTCGTTTCGTTCTTATCTTTTGGCATGTAGCAGAAGATATATGGAACCGAATAGTTTTTTAGTTTTAGTAGGTGGTAATTTTTTATAAAGTGTGGTCGAAATAAAAGTATAATATACATACACTACGTATTATAAAGCACACGTACAATAACCTCTCAAGGACTTATAAGAAGAGGAAATATAAGCCTCTCACACTTGGCGATCTCGTCTTGCCGAACCTTCCGTTCTCCTGCAAAACCCTTCTTTTTTTTTTCTTTCTATCTTTCTTCATATTGTTTGGTAAGTTACATTGATTTTTATATGACTGAGTTTCCTAATTTACCCTCATCCGAAATGTCCATCCAGGACCATCTTCAAACGCTGTATGATAAGCATCGCTCTCAGACGATACTCACAGACTCTCGACTGCAGGAACTAAATGAAAAACTTGACCGTACGAACCAGCATACCGATGATGCAATCCACGTCTTACAGTTGAAACTAGACGATACTTCGTTGGATACTCAAAATCGGTTAGCAACTATTGTCCGAAATTTCGAGGATTATCTCCGTGACCTGCGGCGTCCGATGGCATCCACTTCGCACCTAAGCGATCCTTCCCCAGTTTGCACCGGTTCCTCACCTCCTACTCAGTTTCCGCCTACAAAACCGGAAAATCTTTCTACCTATCCCTCCTCAGCTCCTCAACTAAATCCGAATATCTCATCCGGTGACGTACCGCCACAAACGCGTCCGACACCTCAGACTATCATTATTCCGGCACCCACTACCATACCTCAATATGCTGGAAAACCTACTGAAAAACCTCTCCAGTTTTTACTTCGCCTTCAGCACTATGCTTCAAGCATGTACGGCTGGACTGATACCGCATTACTGCAGGGTATTTCTACCTTTTTACTGGATACCGCTTTAGACTGGTACATCCAACTATCCCTTACCCATAACCTTCCTACCACTTGGTCAGAGTTCCAACACCTATTCATCCAGCAATTTACTTCTCCCCTCCGTCTTACGCAAAGCGAAGAGAAATGGAATCGCTGTGTTCAACGTTCCGATGAGCCTATTAGTCAATTTTTGGTTCGTTTACAGGAAATCTGGTACGAGACCGAACGAGAGTGAGCATGATTTAATTAAACATCTTTACGCAAAAATACGCCCGGATCTAGTCACTCTTATGGGCGTCCTTGATCATCCTACACTTAATCAGTTCATGGATAAAGCTCGCTCTGCCGAAGTAATTATTTTTTCTCAACAACACCAACTTACTCTGATTCGGCCTGCTGTATCCGATACCTCTATCACTGTGCCCGCTTCTCTTCCAGCATCTGTCACTCGCCGTAGCACTGATGTTGTCTGCTATAATTGTAAAAAACCTGGACATTACTCTTATCAGTGCCCTGCTCAGCCTCAGTCACTATATCGAAAAAACTGAAACGGGGTCCTTCTGGTAAGAGGTGGAACGTCCCCGCATTTTCCATGAATCCTAAATCCTCCAATGCTGCCTTGCATTCCATTGGCATTGTCCGCACGTCTCATTCCCATAGTCTTCTTCAAATTCCAGGTCAGCTTAATGATTATCATTCTGCTTTCACGATAGATACTGGATCTACATTAACACTAATTAGCGATACGGTCCTGAAACTTCTCGACCGTCATGCACTCGGTCTTCCTCAACGTGTTCCTTCCATCACGGTTCGACTCGCTAACGGGTCTCCCATCTCGTCTAAGGGTGCGTATATGGTTTTCCTCACTCTCAACGGCGCTACCTATCACCATTTAGTGTATGTTATCCCTGGTTTGCAACATTTTTGTGTATTAGGTCTCGACTTTTTTCGCAAATATAAAATGGTCATAAACCCATCTCAGAATCAAATACACACCCTTTCGGATACCACACTCCCATCTCATACCAAGATTCCAGCTTCTTCCGTCCCACCCTCTACACTATCCACTTCCAACTTGGCCACCTACACACTTTTAGCAGCTCAATCAGCTCGTATCCCGCCCTTTCATACCATGCTCATCGCGGCTAAACCCCATAAAGCTTTTTCTACCTGTACTGCGGACGAAACCTACTTTATCACCTCTATGCACCTCTCTCCTCGAGTGGCAAACGGCATAATACATCCTTCACGGGATCTCATTGTCAGTGTGGCCAACTTTTCCAGCGCTACACTCTCGATCAGTCCCAGCCAGGAGCTAGCCACTATGGACCGTTGTAATCATGCTCAGCTTGGAATTCTAGCGCAAACTTCTTGTACTATTACACCTCAAGTCAAACCTGATAATGTCCCTGATCTTACACACACCGACCTATCATCTTCTNCGTTCGGCACCAAATTCAGACACATCCTGGTGCAAAACCTACCAACTCTCAGCCTTATCGCATGGCTCCACTTAAACAAGCTCATGCATCAACTGCAGTTGACGACATGTTACACGATGATGTTATCTCATCGTCCTCTAGCCCATGGGCAGCTCCCGTTGTTCTTGCCCCCAAAAAGGATGGTACTCTCCCTTTTTGTGTGGACTATCGCAAACTTAATGCGCTTACTGTAAAGGATGCATATCCCATTCCCCGGGTAGACGATACCCTTGATTCACTGCAGCAAGCCAAGTTTGTTTCTACTTT